CAAGCCTTAAAAATCAATAAAATGAAGTACGTATTGTGCAGTGATTTTCCAAAGGAAGCTGAGTTTTTTATGAATGAATTAGATTTCAGTTTGGAACCACAATGTTCACTTGAGGATTTAATTAAGCGTCTTGATGACGAAACCAAAATAGTTTGAGATGGAGAAAATTTCCTTCAAATTATTAAAAAAAAAGTATTTTGTTCTAAATCTTATAACTTGCAGAAACTGTACAATAAAAATTAATGTACTGAAACAATAGCTTTTGTTTTATTGTCTCAATATGAATTTCTTTTCGTTATTCTAATGTTTGTCTTAGAGTCCTTCATTCAATTTTATTTAATTTTTCAGTGCAACTTTTTAGTTTTATCCCCCAGGTAATAATATTTGCCACTCCGATATCTCAAACGATGCAAAAAGTCTAAAGAAATTGAAACTTTTTAACGGAATTGAGAACAAAACTGTAAAAACATGTACGGAATTGTAAAATTAACATTGATTTCTAAGATGACTTTTACAGATTTTTTTTTTTAACATTTGATATTGTATAAACAGATAAACTGGTTACACTTTTCATTGCTATAAGTGAAATACCTGCAAGTGCCGTAGTTCGGGTATCTTGATCCTGATTGGTTGTTGAAACGTGACTTTTGTTTACATTAGTAACTGTTCTTTCCATTCTATTTCGAGTAAACCAAACGTTTCAAGTATCAGTTTTCTCCTGTGAAGCATTTTATATTTTTTCACAAACATTTCAATTCTCTCACCTTATATTTTTTACTTAACGTAAAGACAGGTAGAGCATGAACAAACTTATTATGCATCGAAGTAGCCAAGCGCACAAAACAAAAGTATAGCTAAACTGCAATAAAATACGTAAACAAATAATGAATATAAGTTTAAAAAAAAAGGCGCAGACGGGAAAAAAAATTATATTTAAGCAAATTCCACGTGTGATACGGAGCTCTATTCAACTACACGTTAATTATCATTCTAACTTAAGTGGAGATACTTAGCTCAACTTCAATCAGCCATTTTGTTTATAAACAATCAGCTGGCCCTGAGGTCATAGGACACGTGTATGGGTACTGTGGTCTTCTTCTTCTTGGTGCAAGTACCAAATTGCGAATATACAGCGTACGAAAATAAAGCAGCACTATAAAAGTTGCCAATTTTGCTATAAAAGTGTGATTTTCTCTCAGAAAATATAATAAAATGGCATGGTATATGTGATTCCACAATAGGCATTACATATATTTCCAAGCTCTTAAAATTTCTTTAACTTTTTAAATTTATTTTTTAATTATTCTTAATCGAATTTTAATTAAATTAAACCAATTATTAAATTCTTATTACATTTTATAAGAAGCTAATATAAATATTTTGCTCTCTATTTCACAATCAGTGTAATGGCGGACAGTTTTTATTTCCGTACAAATGTAAAGCTCACTAATTTACTGTGGCTACTAAATCGAAAGCAAAATCTATTTATAACTCTTCTTCTTTATTTCTTACCACTTACCTTTGTTTCAGTTACATGGTTAAACTAATTCTCATAGTATTTTTGGCAATTAGTTTTCGCCAAATTATTTTCCAATTTAATATTGATTACTGATAAATTGAAGGTATACTATTTTTGTTGGGTAATATATCTTTCGATAAATCTCGCCAACCATGGATCTATTCTCATCCTCCTAACTGTCCGTTGAGAACAATTTACTTTAATTTTAATTTCGAATTTTTGGTGATAGGTCGGACATAGTCGAAACCGTTGAATTTTTATATTGAATGATTTTTTCTTAAATTACAAAGAAACTACATCCTTTATACTGCAATTGCTATGGAAGAACTAAATTGCTATGAAAGTGGGCGTGATTTCAAGGGTATGACATTCCAATCTTTCATCGGGTTATTATTTTTCATATTTTAATTTGTTTTACATTTCCACTTAATTTTTCTGGTCGTCGTGTTAGTTAATAGCTTCCTCTGAACAGGCTTTCAGTCTAACTAGAACGGTCCACAATTGACATGCGTTAGAGAATACCCGTCTTTAAAGGAGGGGTGATAATATGGGTTGTAGGTTATTTTTCTTATAAGGGTTCTAATATGGGTTAATTTCTTTTTAATAAATGTGGAAAAGATCATTCCAATCTCCTTCCATTCGTCAGAAGATTCTCCTTTATTTTTGAGACATAATTATCCTTTTTTTCGTGGTCAGAACATTGTCAGAAAGCGCCGACATAAATTGTTTGTTAAATAAATGAAAAAAAAAACATGATATGTAGATGAAAGACAAAATATTTCGTTGCTGCTTAATAATTTTGATTTTCTTAATTTCATTTAATTAGCATTTTTTTTATAACCGCATTTTTTATAGGGATATCTGTTCAGCTTACCCATTTTACGTTATTTGATGCGCAGTGGAAAATGTCGAAGGTTGCAGAAAAGGTACATTAATGCATTAATATTTTTGATATGTATTTTGCCTAACAACAATTTCACCAATTCATAAAAAATTCAAAGTTTTCTAATTTCTACCTTTATTATGATGCTGAGAACTTTAACCCTTAAAATTTAATTTCCGGATGAAAACAATAATGATAATAACAACAATTTTTACTTGTAAAGTTAATTTCACAAGTTTTATTCCTAAATTACGTGACGTAGTTCCGTTTAGGTGTAAATTAAATTTGAGAGCTACTCTAGTTTATGACGATTATTTATAATTAAGTGAATACAAACGAGAATACCTTGCTCTATTAATGCTTTTCTTTCATAATATATTTTTCAATAAATGCTTGATGATACAATTTAATACAATAACAAAAGTTATATTTTTATTGATGACCTTGAGCGATATTTTACATACACAGCTATAATCTGAAAATTCAGATCAGTAATGTTAATAATCTTTTTTTTTTCAAAAAAAAGGGCAACAAATTCATGCAGATTCTATTCACAAGAATAATATTAATTATGAATTTTATAAACGTATATCATAAATTCATGTCATAAATTTAGATTAAAAAAAACCTATAGACTCCGCGTTGGTGAAAATAAAAATAAAAACCAGATTGACCCTCTTATTAGCATGCCTTAATTACGAACATATTTGTTGTAACCCTTTTCAGCAATCTTTTTCTCTTGCCCTCTTCAATATTCTCCTTTTTTTTTTCACTTGCCCTCTTCGATTTTCTATCTTTCAATTCATTCTAGATTCAGTAAAATGTTTCACTTATTTGAAAACTACGGAAAATTTCACCATCAATTTCATTTTACTGAAAATTTTGCATTTAAAACTTTTTTTCTTCCACAAATGGCTCGTTTCAGACTGTAAAGGAATGATTTTCATTAATATTATTTTTGGTTCGGTAAGTGATTGTCGGTATACGTTCCTATAAGTAAAACTTTCACTCGTGCTGTTTAAAACGATATGAGTTTTCTTTTTGACAATTTCAGTCTTAGCTTCATATTGATACAATTTTATTTTTTCTGTTATGGATGGTTATGGTACGGATTGTGATGGTAGTTTCATGTTTTTATTTCTAAATTTATTCTTCGTCCACCTGAAAAACCAATGAAAAGCAAAACTTTTTGTGAATCAAAATAAATATAAGCTGTAAGTATTGATTTATATTTTACTATTCCATTGTTAATGGGTCTTATTCTAATTCCAAAAGGAAATATTTTTATGGTAATAAGTCGCTAAATTAGGCGATAAAAAGCGTTATTCGGTAAAACCATTAAAGAATAAAATAAACAGATGACCACAGCTTTGGTAATGCTCAGAACTTAGCTTTTCCTCTATATAAATGATACATAGTTCATCCTACATTACAAACAAGCTGGATAAATAAAAAAATGGACGTGATGATTGAAAATAAAAATAATCTCCCCACAAGGAAAAAGAAAAAAAAACAAGTTTGGTTAATTTTATTGATGAAGGATTGAATTACACTAATCCTACTGTGTCATTAATAACCTTGTCCAACGCAATTTCCACTATCTTGTCAAATAACTCGCCACTCACAACCTAACAGCATGATACAGTATACACAACACACCTAAAAGTATGATAGTTGTAAAAATGATATTTCTTTTTTCTTTATATAGATATGTGGATTTAGAGTCTTATCCCATTGCTAAGCATTAATGAGCAATATATATTTTCTTACATGAATAAGAAAAATATATTTTATATGAATAAGTAAAAGCATATTATATTGCATGTTTAAATGTTCCTCGAAAGATATTTGACACCTTTTTTAGAAACTTAAGGCTATAAAATGAAAGAAATAATCTTGATCATAGGATAAAAATATTATAGTAGCTTGTAGAGGCTGTTGGTTGCGACAGCTGAGATAGTATGAAAAGCCGAGGTAGAAGGATCGAGTATTGGATCGAAGGTAGGAGAACGAACCGGAATAGTTCCTGCGCGGATGAATACCGGCGGAGGAGCATCAACCGGCGGCCAAGGCAGGGAGTGAAAAGACTGATGTCCAGTACTTAAGGAGATGGCAGTTTGCCTAACAACTTTTTAAATATTTTTTTACGAATAACCTGTTGATTGGAGTTTGTGAGTTTCTTGATGGTTTGTTACCTTATACTATTAAAGAAGATATTTCATTGCCAGATTTTTTCATTTGACGTCTTACATTCCCATCATCGAAACTTATACAATTGGTGACCTGTGAACGAATACGTATATTTCTGTTTCTGCAAACTGCGTATGGGAAATTCTACTAGTTGATGGATTACGGAGAAATGCTGGTATGTTTCAAGTTTTAAAATTTTTGGCAAGCCGTGAGTACAAATTGCTTATATTGCTGAACTTATACATTTCGGATTAATGCAAAAAATGCCCGAATCTACGGAAACTACTGATCAACAAATTGCTCGTGTCGCTGTAAAGCCACCACCTTTTTGGAGCGCTAATCCAGAATTGTGGTTCAGACAAATTGAAAGTCAGTTCACTCTTGCTGGAGTAACTACAAAGTCAACGAAATTTCACCACGTAGTTTCTGCTCTACAACAGGAGGAACTGGCGATTATCAGCGATATTGTTATCAGTCCACCTGTGGATGAGCCTTTCACTGCACTTAAAAAATATCGTGCGCTCAATATGCTGAATCTGAAGCTCAACGCTTAAGGGATTTGATTTCGGGGATGCAACTTGGTGACCGCCGTCCTTCAAGACTGCTTCTGGAAATGCGGAATAAAGCCGGCGCGAGAATTAACGAATTTTTGCAGAGGTTGCCTACTAATGTTCAACAGATTTTGGCGATTTCCAACGATAACCTGGACAAGCTGGCGGAGATGGCGGATGGTATTATGGCTACGACAACTAACGCACAGACAGTCAGCGTAGTTGCTGGTTTGACGGATCAGACGGATTTATGGTCGTTATTGACAGAGATCACAGCTCGTCTCTCACGGTTGGAAGCCCGTACAAGTGACCGGTCAAGAAGTACTAGTCAGAAACGCTCTACTAGCCGAAGCCGATAGTCTACAAATTCACAGTATTGCTGGTATCATAAAATATTCAAACAACGAGCGACAAAATGCCGACCTCCATGTTCGTTCCAACCGGAAAACAGCTGAGGCCGTCATCCAGTCAAAAGGGTGACGGCGAAACGATGATTCAGCGACTTTATCTGACGGACTAGTCTACATCCTTACGTTATCTCATCAATACGGGAGCTGACGTCTCTGTGATACCTCGTGTTGCTTATGCATCTAGTGACCATTCTTCACAGATGAAATTGTTCGCCGCAAACGGTACGACCATTCCAACGTTTGGCCAACGCCTGTTGAAATTAGACCTCGGACTCAGAAGAGAGTTCAGCTGACCTAGTATCATCGCTGCCGTGCCTCATCCAATTATCGTAGCTGACTTCTTACGCAATTTTGGTTTATTAGTAGACGTCAAAAATGCTGCAGTAATTGATCCTTTGACCAAGTTGCAAACAAGAGGCACCCGGTATGCTGGGAATGCTTCAACAGTAAAGGTAATTTCAGAGAACTCTGAATTCCTCAATTTGTTCTCAGAATTTCCTGATCTGATTAGGTCAGGTGTCACGCCAAGAAATGTTAAGCATGGAGTAGAACAATGGACAAAAGGACCTCCTGTTTTTTCGAAACCTCGACGTTTATCTACAGAGAAGTTGAAAGCTGCAAAACAAGAGTTTGAATTTCTGGTAGCATCAGGGGCTTGTCAGCCTTCCAAAAGTTGTTGGGCAAGTTCGTTACACATGGTTCTAAAAAACAATGGCGACTGACGACCGTGTGGTGATTTTCGTCGTCTTAATGGTGTGATCGTGCCAGATAGGTACCCTGTTCCCCACATGCAAGACTGTTTTCAGGTTTTGGAAGGTAAAAGAATATTTTCTACCTTGGACCTAGAAAAGAGTATTATCAGATTCCGGTACGCAGTGAAGACATGCCAAAGACTGCTGTAACAACCCCGTTTGGATTGTTCGAGTTTTTGTATATGCCGTTTGGATTATCAAATGCTGCCGCAACTTTCCAGCGCTTCATTCATCAAATTTTAGGTGAGTTCAAATTTTGCGTACCTTATTTTGATGATGTATTAGTAGCTTCAAAGAACGAAGAAGAACATTTAAGGCATTTAAAAAGAGTTTTTCGACGTTTTGCTCAGTATGGTGTAACGCTCAACGTAAGCAAATGTGTCCTGGGACAGTCTTCAGTAGAATTCCTAGGGTATTGTGTAACGGAAAAGGGTATTACTCCGCTTCCTGATAAAGTTTCTGCAATTGCTAATTTTCCTCAGTCAGTTACAATTAGAGAGCTGCGTCAATTTCTTGCGGTCTTGAATTTTTATAGAAGATTCATACCGAGAGCTGCCCACACTCAAGCAATTTTAAACGAATATTTAAAAGGCGCTAAGAAAAATGATAAAAGCGCGATCAAGTGGTCGGAGGAAGCAGTTGCTGCGTTTGAGGAGAGCAAGAAAGAATTGGCGAATTCAACCAATCCATTCTATCCTGTCATGAATGCACAGTTGGTGATGGTAGACGCTTCAGATACTGCGATGGGAGCTGCTTTTCATAAGCGTATAGAGAAAGAGTGGCAACCACTTGGTTTTTATTCAAAGAAGCTTGCACCATCTCAAAAAAAGTACAGTGCTTACGACAGAGAGCTCTTGGCTGCGTACATGGCAGTCAAATACTTTCGGGATATGGTAGAGGGTTAGCCGTTTACTATCTACACTGGCCACAAGCCACTTATATATGCCTTTAAACAGAGGAAAGATAAGTGTTCGCCAAGACAATCGCGTCATTTGGATTTTATTGGCCAATTCACTACGGATATTCAGCACGTGAAGGGAATAGATAACGTGTTGCAGATGCGCTGTCCAGAGTAAACATTGCTATCATAGAAACACCTTCCCACATCAATTTTCAAGAAATGGCTAACAGCCAAAAGGGTGACCAGGAACTATCCGAAATTTTAGCTCAAACCGGTAACTCATCTTTGGTACTTCAACCATTCGTAATAGGTGATCCTGGTGTGGAGCTGTTTTGTGATATATCTACCAAACGGATTCGACCATTCGCACCCGAAGTGGACAGAAAAAACGTTTTTTCCAAACTGTATTCTATTTCACATCCAGGTATTAAAGCTACTATAAGGTTGGTGGACGAGCGATATGTTTGGCCTGGTACAAAGAAAGATGTTAGGACATGGGCTCAGCAATGCCCGGCTGCGACTTTACACATTGTCGACTCCCGGGCACTTCTTTGGCACCGTATTTTGAAATTCGCCAAGTCGGCTTTCAAATTTTCTCGCGAAAATCTTCGAATATTAATTCACGCATGTTTCACTTGCGACATACGATTTAAAAAACGCATGAGTGAACATGAGGTGTGAATAAATTTAGCTGCTTTAAAA